ACAGTAAGAGGATCTGTACGCCCTCCGGCAAACAGACACTCTCGGCATTTGGGCTTATTTTGGTATCAATATGGCAATTCCACTGGAAATGCTGTGTCGAGGACAAGAGGTGGGTTCCAGATGCATGCATCTGGGCCATACGGCGCAATAGATGGCGCTGGTCAATGCAACTACAACTAGAGTGGAGCCTGAAATGGACCAAAATGTGCTCATAGCCATTGTAACGAGCTGGATCCCGGAATGGGAAGAGTTCCGAGTAACAGCCTATGCACGCAAAGATGATATCGATGATTACCATAGATATGGCGCAACGTTACAAAGGCTGTATGTACCTGATGTCCCCATGCATGTGTCGAAGAGAATCATACCGTATCATCACGGCTAAAAGCTTAGCTCTCACTAGCAACTGGAGTTAATCTAAACTATTTGCTTCGCAAATAGCTAAATAAAACCCGAATACAAAAAAAAAAAGTGGTTATATAAGATATCCCAGACAATCAGTCTTGTTACACTCATTTCAATATCCAATCAGTATCAATATTCAGTCAGTGCCTTTACTCCACCTTTTATCTCCTTAACATGGATTGTAGGAATGCCATGACCGTAACGGCTTGGCATATCACATCCTCACATTCAGTTTAATAAAGTTCGATTGTTTATTAAAAAAAAATTTTTTAAAAAAAAGGGTGGTGGAGTGGTCTAACAACACTGTTCATATCAACCGCCCCCGCATCTCAATACCCCTATAAGCTAGCATAGTTTACCTTTTTTTTTTTTTTTTTGTATTACAGCAATTCGAATTTTTTTATTTCTGTTTTAATGACATTCTACAGCTGCAACAAGAACTGAATATCCATTCTGACTCTTGGACACAGCTTTACGTATGCTACCAATCCAACTTAGATGTTGGAGGGGTAAAGCATAACGCGGACAGAAGCACCAAAGGTCTTGGGGGGAAGGTTGGAGCGGAACTTGGCCTTGACGACACCGTTACCACCGTGGGTACGGGTAACACGGCCCCAGATAACACGGATCTTGCTACCGTTGACCTCACGCTTGGCGCGGTAGACGTAAGCAATACGCTTACCGAGGTAGAATTGAGCATCAACTGGAGTTTGGACACCCTCAATTTGGATAAGAGAAGTGTTCTCGTTCTGGTTGCGCTTGGCGCGCTCGTAACCCAAAACACGGCCCTTGCTGTAAAGACGAGACATCGATTCACGTAAAAAAAAGTTCTAGCATAGTTTAGCTTCAAACTTTTGGGACCTCAGTTTCACACTGAAATAAACATTGGCTCTATTGAAATAAAAAAACCCCCGCCCACGGCTGTTGCTCTGATGCGCAAAACCAGTGAGCTTTCCAAGTATCCGCCCCTACTATACTCGAGCGCACTAACGGGTGACATTTCCCTTTCGTTTTCCCTATAGGACGCTACAGTAACAGTGCCTGTCTGATTTCCTGCGGCTGGATATTCAGTGAAGGGCACTGAACTATGCCCAGTCCTAAACCCCTAGCCTCCCACTAATAATGGCATCCGACAACAAGTGCATTATACCTTCCTCTGCACGATTTTAATTAATAGCTGTATGGAACAGCGTCATCTACTGCGCCGTATGGCTTAGAGGCATGTGTCAGGAACCATCCATCTTCCTCTTTGCTGCATTTCCAGTAAAATTACAATATTATCACTCAGCCATATTGCTGATACCATTTGTTGCCCTGTGACCGTGCGGATCTTTTGCAGTCAAACAATAGGGACCGCTGCCAGAGCTTTGTCTTTTTTTTTTTTTTTTGTATGCGGTTTTATTGTAACAATTTCGTGACACTTGTTTTGGGTTAACATTAATTAAAAGGTACTAGACAAAATGTCC